AAAGAAATCTGATTTTAAAATGGACATAGGATCTGAATAGACATTTTTCCAAAGAAGACATACAAATGGCAAACAGTTACATTAACATGTGCACAACATCATTCATCATCATCAGGGAAATGCGAAGTACAATCACAGTGAGATATCACCTCACACCTGTCAGAATGGCTGTCATCGAAAACACAAAAAATAACAAGTGTCGGTGAGGATGTGGAGAAAAGGGAACCCTGGTGCTCTGGTTGGTGGAATTGCAAATTGGTGCAGCCACTGTGGAAAACAGTATAAAGGTTCCTCAAAAAATTGAAATAGAACTACCTTCTGACCCAGCAATTCTACATTTGAATATTTATCAAAAAAAAAAATGAAGCCACTGTCTTGAAAAGGTATGAGCACCCCATGTTCATTGCAGCATTATTTACAATAGCCAAGACATGGAAACAACCTAAGCGTTCATTAATGGATGAATGGATAAAGAAAATATGGTATATACACACAATGGAATATTATTCGGCCTTAAGGGGAGAAAATCCTACCAGTTGGGAGAAAATGGATGGAGCTTGAGGGCATTATGCTAAGTGAAATAAATCAGGCAGAGAAAGACAAATACTGTATCATATTACTTACACGTGGAATCTAAAAAAATAAAACCAAACTCATATATACAGAAAAGAGATTGATGGTTGCCAGAGGCAGGGAGTGGAGGTGGGTAAAATGGGTGAAGGTGGTCAAAAGGTACAGAATTTCTTATAAGATAAATGAGTCCTGGTGACTCTAGTTAATAATACTGTGTTGTATATTTGAAAGTTGCTAAGAGGGTGGATCTTAAAAGTTCTCATCACAAGAAAAAAATTGTTTAACTATGTGCAGTGATGATGTTAACTAAACTTATTGTGGGAATCATTCTGCAATATATACATATATTGAATCATTATGTTGTACACCTAAAACTAACATAATGTTATATGTCAATTATATCTCAATTCTTAAAAATCCACATAAGAAAAATCATGACAAACAAAAAAAGGAGCAAGAAAAAACCCTGGTAAAGACATAGCACAAAAGAAGATAACGGGAAAAAAACAAAATGTGTAATTAATCACAATAACTATAAATGAATGAGGGCCGGCCAGGTGGCTCAGTTGGTTAGAGCAGCAGGGTTGCCAGATTGATTCCCACATGGGCCAGTGAGCTGCGCCTGAGCTGAGCTGCCGCTGAGCTGCCGGTAGGCCGCCGGACGGCTCAGCTCGTGAGAGTGCGTGCTCTTAACAATAAAGTTGCCTGTTTGACTCCCGCTTGGGATGGTGGGCTGCACCACCCCCATCCCCCCCCACCCCCGCCACTAGATTGAAAGCGGTGACTGGACTTGGAGCTGAGCTTGCGCCCTCCACAACTGAGATTGATGAACAACAACTTGATTTGGAGCTGGTGGGTCCTGGAAAAACACAATGTTCCCCTTCCCCAGTTCCCCAGCACTGTTCCCTTCCCCAATTTCCCAATAAAATCTTTAATAAAAAAATATATATATATGGATGAAATTCATTGATTAATAGAGCATCAGCTTTTTAAAAAATGCATGTATATGCTGCTTACTAGAGACACAATTGGAATACAGAAAGGTTGAAATTAAAGGTATAAAAACATATAAGTCCAAAATAATTTATTAGGAAATAAAAGTGGGTCAAATAATAAGGATAAAAAGTATACCACCAAGAACATATAACAATTCTAAGCTGGTACTCAGCTAATAACGGTTTCAGAATACAAAGAAAAAAACAGTCAAATTTACAAGGAAAAAATTAAAAATTCACTGTCAAAGGGAGATTTTAACAAAATTATCTCAGTAATTGATAAATCAAACAGTCACCAAAATAACAGTAAAGATATAGAAGATTTGAAAAATAAAAAATAACAAGCTTGATCTGTGATATTATCTATTATATTGTATCTATTATATCTATTTTAGATATCATATACACATATATCTATTATACTTAGATTTTATATATATACATACATATCTATTATATATAGTATATATATGTACATAATAGTTAATATAATATTTATAATAGATATTATAATATACATAATATATAAAGATCTGCAATAGATATAACAAAATTTTAAGATTTGGTAAACCTGGGTACTGGATACAAGGATATTTGATATACTGTTCTCCATACTTTTCTCAAACTTGATACGTTTTTAAATAAATTTTAAAATTAATAATTATTCACAAGAAACTCTAAAATGAAACACTTAGGCTGAATTCCCTGTTTTGGTCTCTACAGATGCCTGACACAGAAAAGAGCACTAAGAGTCCAGGTGTTCCCCCCTTTCACAAAATTTCTGTCATAGGTAATATCACTAGCAAGAAAAGCATCCTAGCAACTGGGATGGGGGGAGGGGGAATCAGACTAAGAATGTACCTAAATAAGGTGGATATAGTATATATGAAGGAGAAATTCTTGACTCTGTTTCCTCTGCAACATATCTGAGAAAGGAAAGTCACATTTCAAATGAACGAACAAACACACAAAAACACAGGAGGGTAAATCTGGTCCTTCTCTGCTATTCCTTCTTGGCTGGAACAGATGTTTGATCTGGGTATTAAACAGCAGGAGTGTGAGGATAAATTAGAAGAAATCCTCCACATGCTTGATTTCTGCCTTCTTTGAATCACTCAGCCCTTTGCACATTGCTGCATGACATTGATTAGACATCTCCCATTCTTGAGCTAAGCCTGGCACTTCCCAAAGCCAAACAGAGTCTAAAGTCTCAGACTCTCCTTTATTCCTTTTTGTACCTCCTTTAGTGCCCGCTGAGTGTCTCGCACAAAATAAATGCTTTAAGAAATGTATCTCCAACACTGTAATTAAAAAAGACTGAAAAGACATATAAAAAATGAGTAAGGTTAAACCATATGTCCAAGGATGCACATTTGGGTGATAAAATCATAAATAAACATAAGGAAGTTGATTTATGTCCATTTTTATCCTTACTATAATAGTAAGGGCAACGGTTACTTTTGGAGGGACTAAGGGGGCTGTGATTGGGATGAAGCACATGGAAACTTCTGGGTGGCTGAAGATCTATTTTTTGACACAAGTGGTGGTTACAAGAGTGTTTGTCTTATAATAATTCATTTGCTTTAAGGTGGTTTTCTATAGGTGGGTTTTTATTTTATAATAAAAACATTTTTGTTGGTATATTCCATGAATAAATGAATAAATAAATAAATAAATAAATAACCTATATTGTATAGCACTTTGTGTTTTGTAAAGTGCTTTCACAAACCAGGTAAGGCAGGATAGGATAACATTTCTCACCAATTTTATGGATGAACAAACTGAAATCCAGATGGTTTAAGGGACATAACCAAGGTCACAGGGCTAATTAGTAACTGAATTAGGATTCAATTCTGGCATTCTGCCACCTGGTAGGATATTTTTCCCCACCTTGTGGCCTCACTAGACTGCCCGTTGCCCTGTCCCCCCATCCCATCACTTGGTGCTGGCTCTGTGTCCTCACCAACGGTGGATATAGAACCAGTTTCAGAGAGTTGTTTCCCATCTGGAGAAACAGACAAAATATCCCTTCCATTCTGCCTCCTTCAGCCCGAGGAGGAAAGGAGATGCCAGCCACATCAGAGGTGTGGACCCTTAAGAGATGGAGGCTGGTTTATTTTCTTTAAGACACAGAGGCAGGGAAACAAGATGCTCTGTGTGTACATGTGCGTGTGTGGTCCTCACCTGTGGGGAGAACTGGAACTTGTGAGTATGGATAACAAGGGTGAAGGAGGTTGCCCATCAAGTCATCTGGCACGTCACACACACACCTCTGGGTGTGTGTGGGGGCTGAGTGTGCCTGGGGAACACTAGGTCACAGCTGTGCATACACATTTTCCCCATGGTCCCTGTATCTGAGGCTGGGCCCATCAGTGGACAGAAATATCCTGACATCTCTTTGTCTTCTCTTTGTGTCTTTTCATTAAAAATGAAATTATTATTGTGCCTGCTCTGTAACTTCACACTTTGGTGTTTTAATAGTTGTCATTCAGGAATAATTCAGAAGAAACTGTGGACGGTGCTTTCCTCTAAGGAATGAGATTGGGGTCTCAGGACTCACTTCCTACTGCATACCCTCTGTTTCATTTACATTTTTTTTGTCCTATATGTGTGTTATTTTCATAATAAAACGCGGGGGAGATCATTATTGCCAGTGAGCAATGGTGTGTTTGCCTGTGTCCCTGAAGATCCTGCTTTTATCAGCCTGCTAGCAGGCTGAGCAGATTGCAAAGTGCTGTCAAATGCAACTTCTCATTTAATCCACTCTTCAATTCAACAAATATTTGATAAACGTTTCCGATTTGCCAGGCAGTTCTAGAAGCTGGGGATGTAACGTGAACCAACCAGATAAAAATCCTCACCTTCCTGGGGACTTATATTCTACTAGGTGTAGAAAGATATACAACAAAAGTAATAAAGTGGATGGTACCTGAGAAAAGACAGGGCAGGGGAGGGGAACGGGAGGCTGCCCTGTAGAAGAGAGTGGTCAGGGAAGGTGACAAGTGGGCAAAGACTTGGTGGAGGTGAGGGAGTGATCCAGGGAGCCATCTGGGACAAAAAGTGTTCCAGGGAACAGCAAATGCGAAGGCTCTGAGGCAAAAGCAGCAGGCATGCTGGAAGGACAGCCAGGAAGCCGGTAGCTGCAGAAAAGTCGGTGAGAGTAATGGAGCTGGGGTTAGGCAGGTAAGAGAATCACCAGATCATGTGGGCCTGGCGGGCCACTGTGGGAGTTTGGTTTTTAGCCTGAGAAGGGAGCCATTAGAGGGTTTGAGCAGAGGAGGATCATGACCTAACTAATGTGTTCTCAGGGTCACTCTGGCTGCTGAGTGGAGACCAGACTGTGTGGCAGTAAAGTGGGGATCCTGTGAGGAGACTGCTGAGTGGGGGGTGGGGGTGGGGGGTGGAGGTTTGGACCAGCATGGCTGTAGTGGAGGTGATGGCTGGGCGTCAGAGTCTGGAAATCTTTAGAAGGGAGAACTGACAGGAGCTGCCGATGGCCTTGATGTAGAGTTTGAGAGCAGCAGAAGAGTCAAGAATGCCTCCAAGGTTTGGGGCCTGAGCAGCTGCGTCGATGGCGATGCCCTCGGCTGAGACCGGGAAGACCAGGGCGCAGCGGGGAGAGAGGTGGGCGCGGTGGGGAGGACCACGAGCTCCTCCAGGACAAGCGCAAGGTAAGAGGTCCAGGAGGCGGTGGGGTCCTCACACATGGGCGTCGTTCCCGTTTCACAGGTGTGGACCCTCGGGTCCCGGGGCCCTGCGCCCGCCCCGCCCGCGTCACGTGGCTGCGGGCTGTCCGCCCCCCGGCGCCGGAAGATGAGCGGCGTGGGCGGCGGACATGGAGGCGACGGCGGCCCGCGCGCGGGAGGGCGGAGAGCCGGGCCGCCGGGCCCTGTACTTCTGCGGGAGCATCCGCGGCGGACGCGATGACCGGGAGCTGTACCAGCGGATCGTGTCGCGACTGCGGCGCTTCGGGGTCGTGCTCACCGAGCACGTGGCATTCGCCGAGCTGGGCGCGCGCGGTGAGGCCCCCACCCCTCCGTGGAAACTGCTCTCCGCCCAGAGAAGGGGGCCCGGGCTCAGACCGCATGTGTCTGCGTTCAGCTGCGCAGTGAACCCGGTTTCCGCGCTCAGCTATTATCTCGACCTTTGGTTCCTTTTTGGAGAACTTTTTTTTAGCTCTTTCCAGGGGCGTTTGCAGGGAGGGCAGAATAGGCGTGGGCGTGGATAGGCCTGCTTGGGTTCCCACGTCACCCGCTGGCGTCTTCTCCCCAGCGTAAGACAAAGCTTATCGGTCTGCTTTCCGCTTTACCATCAAGGTGTAGACCGACAGCCCCAGTTCTCTCCACCACCATCTCTCTCACACCCTCTGATCAAGATTAGTAATGTGTTCTGCTCCTGGCTGCTGGGTCTTTCTCTCCCCTCCCCCCCCTTTTATTGAAATATAACTGACATATAGCACTGTATAAGTTTAAAGTGTACAGCATGACTTGATTTACATATATTGTGAAAGGATTACTACAATAAGTTTAGTTCACCTCTATCACCTCATAGAAAGAAAACAAGGAAAAAATATTTTTTTTCCTTGTGATGAGAAAGAACTCTTAGGATCTACTCTCTTAACAGCATTCAAATAACCAAAGAGCCATGGTGACTATAGTCACCATGTACATTACAGCCCTAGTATACTTACTTATCTTGTAACTGGAAGTGTGTACCTTTTGACCACCTTCATCCAATTCCCCCCCTTCCCCCCCCCCCCAGTAACCACAAATCAGATTTCTTTTTATAGTTTGGGTTTTTCTGGGGTTTGCTTTTGTTTTTTTTAAGATTCCACATATGAGATCATACACTATTTCTTTGTCTTATTTCACTTAACATAGTGCCCTCAAAGTACTTTCATGTTTTCCCAAATGGCAGGATTTCCTTCTTTTTCATGGCTGAATAATATTCCAGTGTGTGTGTGTGTGTGTGTGTGTGTGTGTATAATCTCAAAACTTTATCCATTCATCCACCCATGGACACTTAGGTTGCTTTCATGTCTTGACTAATGTAAATAATGCTATCAACATGGGGTACAGATATCTCTTCGACATAGTTTTTGTTTCCTTTGGTTATATTCTCCAAAGTATGATTGCTGGAGCCTATGGTAGTTCTATTTTTAATGTTTTGAGGAACCTCCATACTGTTTTCCATAGTGGCTGTACCAGTTTACACCTACCAACAGAGCCCAAAGGTTACCTTGTCTCCACATCCTCTCCAGCATTTATCTTTTTGACGATAGCCGTTCTAACAGGTGTGAGGTGATATCTTGTTGTGGTTTTGATTTACATTTCCCTAATGATTAGTGATGTTGAGCACCTTTTCATGTACCCGTTGGCCATTCATACATGTTTGGTAAATGTCTATTCAGGTTCTTTACCCATTTTTAATTGGAATATTTGTTTTCTTGCTATTGAGTTGTATATATTTTTAATATATTTTGGATATTAGCCCCTTATCAGATACATGGTTTGCAAATATTTTTTCCCATTCTGTAGGTTGTCTTTTTGTTTCATTATTTCTTTTGCTGTGAAGAAATAAACTTTTTAGTTTGATGTAGTCCTACTTATTTTTTATTTTGTTGCTTGTGACTTAGGTGTTATATCCAAAAAACCGTTGCCAAGACCCATGTCAAGTAGATTTTTCCTGTTTTCTTTTAGGAGTTTTATGGTTTTTGGTCTTACATTTAAGCCTTTAATCCATTTTGAGTTAATTTTTGTGAGTGGTGTAAAATAGGGATCTAGTGGGCCGGCCGAGTGGCACGTTGGTTAAGAGCTGGCTTGGGACGCCAGAGGGCCCCGTTCGGATCCCACATATGAGGGCCGGTGACACTGCCCTCTACAGCTAAGATGCTGAACAACAGCTCGACCTGGAGCTGGGCTGCCGTGAGTCACCAGCGATGGCGTAGGCTGCCGCCCCTGCTGCAGTGGGTTTCCATGGACTACCGTGAGTGGCCAGCAGCCACAGGGTGCGGCAGTCCAGAAGCCAGCGACTGATCTGCCTCGCCCGGGAAGAGCACAATGATGGTGCCAACTTGGGCCAGTGAAGCAACATCCTCCACAACTAGACTGAAGAACAAAAAAGGACAGCAACTTGTCTGTTCCCCTTCCCCCAATTCCCCAGCACTGTTCCCATCCCCCCAATTCCCCAGCGCTGTTCCCCTCCCCCAATTCCCCAATAAAAATCTTAAAAAAAAAATAGGGATCTAGTTTCATTCTTTTACATGTGGATATCCCGTTTTCTCAGCACCAGTTTTTAAAGATAGTTTTTTCTCCACGAGTGTTCTTGATTCCCTCATCAAATATTAGTTGCTTGTATATGCATAGGTTTATTTCTGGGCTCTCAATTCTGTTCCAAAAACATGTGTCTGGGTTTTTTTTGGTTTTTTTTAAAGATTTTTATTGGGGAATTGGGGGATGGGAACAGCACTGGGGAGTTGGGGGAAGGGGACAGACAAGGTGCTGTCCTTTTGTTCTTCAGTCTAGTTGTGGAGGACGTTGCTTCACTGGCCCAAGTTGGCACCATCATTGCGCTCTTCCTGGGTGAGGCAGATCAGTTGCCGGCTTCTGGACGGCCGCTCGCTGTGGCTGCTGGCTGCTCACTCTGGCTGCTGGCCACACACAGTAGCCTATGGCAGCCCACTGCAGCAGGGGCTGCAGCCTATACCATCGCCGGTGACTCATGGTAGCCCAGCTCCAGGTCGAGCTGTTGTTCAGCATCTTAGCTGTAGAGGGCAGTGTCACCGGCCCTCATATGTGGGATCTGAACCGGGGCCCTCTGGCATCCCAAGCCAGCTCTTAACCAACGCGCCACTTGGCCAGTCCAACATGTGTCTGTTTTTATGCCAGTACCATACTGGTTTGATTATTGTAGCTTTATAATATAGCTTGAAATCAGGAAGTGTGGTGCCTCCCTATTCTTTCTCAGGATTGCTTTGGCTATTCGGAGTCTTTTGTGGTTCCACATAAAATTTAGGATTGCTTTTTTCTATTTCTGTAAGAAATGCCATTGGAATCTTGATAGGGATTACGTTGAATCTATAGGGGACTTTGGGTAGTATGGACATTTTTTTTTTAAAGATTTTATTGGGGAATTGTGGAAGGGGAACAGCCAAGTTGTTCTTCAGTCTTTGTTGTGAAGGGTACAGCTAGCTCAGCTCCAAGTCCAGTCGCCATCTGGCCGCCCGTCAGCAACTCGTGGCAGCTCAGCTCAAGGTGCTGTATTCAATCTTAGTTGAGGGTAAGCATAGCCCACCATCACATGCAGGAGTCAAACCAGCAACCTTGTTGTTAGGAGCATGTGCTCTCACCAAATGAGCCATCCTGCCACCTGTTGGCAGCTCAGCTCGGGTGCAGCTCACTGGCCCATGGGGGAATTGAACCGGTGACCCGGTTCAGAGCTTGCACTCTTAACCAACTGAGCCACTCGTCCGGCCTGGACATTTTAACAATACTAATTCTTCATTCTTTTGATCCATGAACACAGCATACCTATACGTTGATTTGTGCCTTCTTTGATTATTTCTTCCGTGTTTTGTAGTTTTCAGTGTAGAGATGTTTGATCTCTTTAAATTTATTAAGCATTTTATTGTTTTTGAAACTATTGTAAATAGGATTTTTTTTTCCAGATAATTCATTGTTAGTGCTGGGTCATTCTAAAACATGGTTTTGATCGGTTGGTCTGGACTCTCACTGACTCTTCTAGTTTGAAAATTGTGCCTAGAACTCTTGTACTTCTGCTCAGAAAACTTTAAGTGATTCTCCTTGCCCTACCCAGGGAGCAGATCCAGGATTTTGTGGGACTTAATGCAATTCTGGGAGACCTCTTTAAAAAGACAAAAATCACAAAATTGCTAGGGCATTGGAAAGGGCCTGTGCAAGTGAGGGACCCTGAAGCTTAAGGTTCGTTGGTTTCACAGTATGCCCACTTCTGCCTGGTGGTTCTTGAACTTCAGTGTGCTCAAGTATAATCTGAGGGAGCTTGTTAAAATGCAGAGTCTCATAGAGTATGAGAGGATGAAGCCTTAGAATCTTTTTGACAAGTTCTCCAGTGATTCTGCTCCAGTGCGGGTGGCTGTGAGCCTTACAGCCCTAAAGGATAACATTTAATCAAGCTGGAATGCTGAGATCCTTGCCCTCTGACTCCGGTATGCCACTTTTACCTTCCTTCCCATCACCTCCTACTCATCCTTTTTCCTTCTGGCAGTGGTTCTCAAATTTTGGTGAGGATGAGAATCCCCTGTAGAGAGCTCATGAAGTGGCTGGACTCAGACACCTGAGTCTTTGTAGTTTTATCAAGTTCTCAGGTGATTCTGGTACCCACCAAAACTTGAGAGCCACTTGTTAGGCTCTGGTCTAGTCTTTCTCCATCCTTTCCTTGCATGGGCCAGTCCTTGCTCCTGCCTGAAATTTCCCCACCTGGGATGCTCTTCCTCCTTGTCTAATCACTGACCCACAATGAGTTAGTCTTTCCCTTAATCTCGGCTGTATCACTCATCTGAACCTATCACTCATCACACATCCCTCCTTTCACAGGATTGAGTTTTTCTTGTAACTGTTCCGTTTCCTTACTCCTTTTCATGGACTCTTAGTGTTGGGCAGGCCCTCAGACGTCATCTAGTACATCTCCTTCCCTCCCTGAGCAGGGTGGATATGGGGGTGTCACAGACAGAGGAGAGGTACTAAGTACTGAGGACCAGCTTTCCCTCAACCACAGGAGAAGAGACTGCTGGGGGTGACAGGTTCATCCATGAGCGGGACCTGGCCTGGCTGCAGCAGGCAGATGGTGAGTGGCCCTCCCTCCTACCTGTGAACTCCTCTGGGGTGTTAGATCCCCCAGACATGCCTGGCCTCCCCACCTAGGACTCCCTAGAGCGTCTTCCTCACCATACCCACCCTGCCATCTTTTCCTTACATGCCCAGATATTGAGCCTCAGTCTCCTGTTTCTTCCCAGTGGTGGTGGCGGAAGTGACCCAGCCATCCTTGGGCGTCGGCTATGAGCTGGGCCGGGCCGTAGCCCTCAATAAGCGAATCCTGTGCCTGTTCCGCCCGCAGTCTGGCCGAGGTGAGCACTTTAAGCCTTGGATGGCCACTGCCTCCCTCCTCAGCTTTCTGAAGACCCAGCCCAAAGCTCCTTCCTTGGGCGTCTCTGAGTAGTGCCCACCCTCAATAAGGGTTGGGGAAGGGAGCACAGCGGGGGGCGGGGGTAGGGTGGTGGTGGAAGGGAGGCATCCTCACCTTCCTCCACCTGCCCAGTGCTTTCCGCCATGATCCGGGGAGCTGCAGATGGCTCGCAGTTCCAGGTGTGGGACTACGAAGAAGGAGAGGTGGAGGCCATGCTGGATCGATACTTTGAAGCTCATCTTCCCAAGCCGGTGGCTTCCTCCCCTGACCCAACCACCTGACTAGACCCCATTGTATGAAATTCTTCTGATCGCAGACTCTGCTCTGTACCATTCTGGCCTCTTAGCCCCAGTACCAAATTAAAAGCTATGTTTACAATTCTAACTTTATGTCTGTATGTGGTGGGGCAGGGGGCAAGTCCTCAGGAGTATCCTCTTCCCACCCACTTCACTTCAAGATGTAGAGAGACCCTTTAAGTCTGTAGGCCCCAAGAGGAGAATACTTCCTGATGCCTTTAAGCTGCTGCCGGAAATACTCGGCAGCTTAGAGGAAGGCCGACTGTGGGGGTGGCCGTTCCCCCCTCTTCTGACGCTGGGCTGGATCTGGGGCAAGTGGGCAAGTCTGCACCTGGTCCCGTACCAGGTGGCCCTTCCCCTTTATCGCTGAAGTCAAATGGGTCACCTTTGGGCCTTCTCTGACAGAGGAGTCCGGAGGTCTAAAGAAAAACTAAAGAATGAGGAGGGTTGGGTGTGTGTGTCGGGGGGAGTTGAAGAGGGCCTTTGGGGAAGCCGCCCAGCCGCTTCAGAGAAGTCTGTGGAAAAGTTTATTCAGTAAACAGAAGGAGGGAATCACCCCCTCCCACCACCCATGACAGTGACAGTGACAGTGGTCAGGGTGGACTCCCGGCCCCCTCGGCCCCATGGCTCCAGGCACTCACTGCCCCCTGTCCCTCAGTCATAGGGCTCATCCTCCTCTTCCTCGTCACCAAAGAAGAAAGTCTCTTGGTCCAGGTTCTCAGACTCCTCGTCATAGGAGAAGCTGTCGTTGTCCAGCTCCTCATCAAACTCGTCCTGCTGCCACTCAGGCACATCATCCTCATCTTCCTCGTCCTCTTTCTCCTCCTCATCCAGCCCTGAGGAGCCCAGGGGCCTACAGGGAGAGCACCACTTAGCCCCAGAGGAAGCCTGGCATGTCCCGCTCCCCCTCCGTGGCTCTGCCCACCCTACTCACTGATTGCTGGGCACGTTGGACCGTTTCGCCTCCTGGGCCTCTAACGATGGACTCTGGAGACCAACCCGGAAATCCTGGCAAGGAGACGGGAGGATGTGGGGAGGAGAGTAGAGGCCACTGGGTCTGTGCCCAGCATTCCTTCAACCGGTGTTCTCTGAGGGCCTACTAGGTGCTATGCCCCTGGCAGGAATGCTCCCACCTGCTCTCCCTCCCTCCCTCACCACAGCACCTCACCAACCACTGCACTGGGTAATGTAACTCAGAGGTGGTCTCCAGGGACATGGGACACAATGATGAGGCACACCAGCCCTGTGCTTCAGGAGCTTACAGTGTATGTACGTGTCTTCTGCCCAAGTCACTCACCAGTGCGTAAGCTCCCTAAAGACAGGACTCATAGTTTAGACTCAACATGAGAACCGGAAACAACTTCAGAGATCCCTTACTCCAGTGGACCCCAAGCCCCTGGCCCCTACTCCTGGTATTCTGAATCCACATCTGGGAGTTATGGCGGAAAAGTTCCCAGATGATTCTGATGAGCAAGCATCTGACCAAATACCCTTGATCTGGACTAACTCCCTTATCTTGTGGGGACTGCGGTTAGGTGGCAGGTCCAACAGCATCCAGCAGGCTGGCTTAGAAGCTGGGACACACTCAGGCCTCCGAACATTCCTGCACCCTCACTGCCTTTTCTCTTGGATGCCCCCGGGGCAGGGGCTGTGCTGGGCACGGGCGGTCCGACGCCGGGGGAGCATACCTGGGTGGAAAGCTGCAGGATGGCGAGCAGCCTTTCCTGGATCCTCCGGAGCAGCTCCAGGCCCGTGCTGAGGCTGTCGGCCCGCAGGAGGCGCAAGGATGAGGCCAGGTCTCTGCACCGCAGCAGGGTCTCCTCTGAGGAGGGGACAAGACACAGGGGCTCCCTCCCTTCTTTCATCCCTTCCACTCCTTCCTTCAACAAACATCTACCAAGTTCTACCAATGTCTACCAGGCCAAGCTCTAACCACTCATTCTCGTGGGGCTTACGCTCTAATGGTGGGGACAGATCGTAATGAAATCAAAGGCCCGTGAGGATCTGTGCCCTTCGGCACTTACAGCATGTACCGTATCCTTCATACCGGAATTTCAAAAGACCAGTGGTGATGAAGCTATGAAGAATAGGAAGAGGAAGTGGGCAGAGGGAAGATGGGGAGCTGGGGTGGGGACACTGTTTCGTCCACCTGCTTGTCTGTTGGAATGGGGTGCACCGAGGGGACAGGTGGGCGGGAGAGAGGGCTGAGCAGGCGGGGGCCGGGCCTCACCGAGGAGGATCTGCAGGGCATTGGTGTGCAGCTCTAGGATCTCAGTCTGCTGCTCCACCATGTCTATGTGCTCCGTGTCCTGGTTGTAGAAGCTGTACACGCAGGCATAGGCCAGCACCTAGGGGAGCCCCAGTCAGGCTCCTCCCCACTGAGGCCTGGCACCTTCCCTCCCACCTGCTTCCTCATCCCCCAATCCAGGCAGGTTAGAGGAAAGCGGCCGGGCCCACTGCACCCTCTGACATACCCCTCTCCTCCCCCTACCCCACCCGCCACCACCTTTCGAGCCTGCTCAAGTCCCCGGCAGGCATCACTGAGGAAAGTGAAGGACTTGGGTGGGGGCACATCGTGGATGGCGGCTACACGATTCCGTAAGTTCACAGCAAATTCCTATGCAGAGGGAGGCAGGTCAGTGATCAGCGCGGGCACTGCAGCCCCACCGTCAGAACAGCACCGTCTAATTCGGACCTCTGGCCCCTCTCCAGCCATCCCTTCCCTCCACCCCCGCCCCCGACCTTCGACCAACCCAACTCTTTCCTCCCTGCTCACCCGGGCCTGGTGATGGAAAGTGCATCTCTCATTATAGTCCTGAAACCTCTTCTCTTGACGAGCTGCCTTGCTTACCTGTAAGGACATGTTGAGAGGGCTGCTGGGCTTTGTTGGGACAGAATGGGGTTCATCAGACTAGCTACCAGTCACAGAGGCCTTTCAACACTACCCTGATTTTTTCATTTAATCCTCAGGACTCTGTGAGGGAGGTCATATTATTAGCCCCTTTTACAGATGAGGATGCTGAGGTGTGGACAAGTAAACTGGCCCAAAGCCACACACTAGGTGGTGGACCAGGCTCTGACTTCGAGTCCTTGTTCTTCTCCGCTCTGCCCTGCTGCCCTGAGAATGCCCAGCTCGCCCCAGCCCACCTGGGTATGCGAAGTCCTACTCTGGGGCTAAAGATTCCCATGTACAGACCTCCCGGCACCTGTAGGCCTAGGTGGCTTCTGCCTTCTCCCCACTGAGCCTTTCTCTCAACAGCTGTTCGGCTGCTCTGGACACAGAGCCCTCTGCCCAGGACCTGGCCACAGCGTCCCATCCTGCCTGCCCTTGAGCCTCCACCCTTCTCCCGGTGCCGGCCCCTTACCATGGCAGAGCAGTTGTAATAGTCTTTGTGATTTGGCTTCCAGGACTTGAGGCAGCGCCAGCAGAATCCGTGGTTGCATTTGGCACAGGTCATGCTATGGAAGAAGCTAGCTGGTCAGAGGGCTCCTGCCTCTGGCCAGGGCCACAGCAGGAATGCCAGGGGCCTGAAGGCACCTCTGAAGATGCCCCTGGACCCTTCAGTAGTAAGTCACTGCTGAATGCACCCTTGCTTCTGAATTCCCCCGTACAGTGAAGGAGACTTAAAAGTGGGGGAAGGAACATAAGATCCAGGAACCGCTCTGGAGGGTGCCAAGAAAGGGTGGCTGAGTAACTGCCCTTGTTGCTCGGCTTTCCAGTAAGTCCCGTTCCCTGCTATCAGGCCCCCTACCCTCTCCCTTGCCTGCTGACTCCCCCGGGGCCCTCTTCTTACTGCAGACACCCCTCGTTCTTCTCGATGGGAGCCTGACAGCTGGGGCAGCGCTTAGAGATGAGCTTGGCCAGGTGCTTGCTCTGGGCCTCCACACTCATGCCATCATAGTAGCCGCCATCATCGACCCACTGAGACATGTGGCCACAGCTGGCAGGGTAGTGTGCCTAGAGTAGGAGGGGGCGGTGAGGACACAGCTGAGCCCTTACTGAGGGCAGCTCTGCTGGGTTTTGTGGTGGGGAGGAGGCCCCATTTGGAGGACTCAGGAGGAGAGACAGAGCTCAACTGGGTGGCAGAGGATGAGGACAAGGCAAAATCTGTGTGTGTGTGGCAGGAAAGGGTGTGGATCCTGGCTCAGCATCAGAGCGGGGTTGGGCGCTCACCTCAGGGAAGCTACAGTTGAAGCAGGAGGCCCAACCACACTTGGAGCAGGTGGTTCCGCAGCCCAGGCCCTGGCGACACAGGATGCGGTCGCAGCCCTGGGGGTTGGTGCACCAGGTCAGGTTGGAGCAGCTTTCCACGTAGCCACGCAGGAGGGCCTTCTCGTACTATGGGATACAGGTGCCACCAGGTGAGGGCCTGGCTCGCCAGGATGCCACCCCTTCAGGACCTCCAGCACCCCGCATGCCAGTCCGCTCCCTGGGGCCTGCCCGTCTGCCTGTGCACCGAGCCTCTCTCAAAGGAGGGGATACCTTGGAGATGACCTCTGGCGAGGAGACGATGGCACGAATGAAGGCTCCAGTGGGCTGGGCAGGGCAGTCGGCAATGGGGCAGGTGCAATTCAGCACAAGGTTCTGCTCGATTCGCATCGTTAGATACTCATTCCAGCAAGACTGGGAGGGAACGGAGGGGCCGCTCAGGGACAGTGCAGGAGCAGCACAAGGAGGTGGTGTCCTGGGCAGTAATCTAGCGCCCCTCCCCTCCCCGACGACAAGGCCAGAGACAAGCCTGCTTCTCCATTAACCTCAAAACTGACCCTAACCTTTCTGGTTTCCATAAATTTTCCTGGATTGGCCCAAATTACAGTTGTCTTTGAGGATGTGTGGGCCAGGATAGCAGCCTAATTGTAATTATTGTTGGGCTTGATGTGGAGGGAGTGGGTAAAGAGAATCAAGGAGGGGGAGGAGGAGGGGCAGAGGGAGGAAGAAGAGAAGGAGAAAGATTCAAGCTCTAAGACAGAATTGGAGAGAGCAAGAAGGTCAGAGAGAAAGGAGGCCTGGGAGAGGGGTCCCCCTTTCCCCACTGGTGGCTGACCTTGGACACTGCAAACCCAGTTTTGGGCTCTCCTCCTGATTCC